GAGCTGGCAATTAGGCTGAGAAGAGTTTTTGGACAGTGCCTCTGGACTCTCTGTTCTGTGCCAGTGGGACTTGTCAGAAATTAACACTTCAAAGGCTAAACATCAGATTCGGAGCTGGGTTGGAACAAAATGAGTCTGTCACGATACAATGGAGAGCAGCAGACTGCTTACTACTGGTTTACACCTACACGGATGAGAGCAAAAATTAGACTTGTGGATTAAAGAGTCTGCTATTTCATCTCATTCAAAGCTAGTGCTACACCTATGCTTTTTGCTTCATAGTTATGATAGAAATCACATCCTTTCATCAGAGACGTTACAGCAGATCAACTTTCCCCGCAGTTATTTTTCTTTATGCTCCGCAGTCCCACCTAATCCTGATGTACCAACACCCGTATGAACTGTGCAGGGAGACAGAGATCCTGCCCAAGAGAGCTGACAAACTTACTTCATTTAAGGACTTTGTTATAAAGAGTTGCTTGAAAGAAGTCTCATCTCTCTGCAACACTACTTTATGTACCTAGCTAGAGCTATGGATGTCTTGATTTCATGTTCTTATTTCTGGAAAGCAGGGTTTGGTCCTCATGGCATAGAGAAGATACCTTCATTTACCTGTTTCCACCTTCCTTCCTCCCTCTCTTTCCTCTGCCCCATCAGCCCCCAGTGGATCTTAGATGGGTGCAGGATGCCCATGGAACCAGTGCACCCCATAAGGAACCAGTATGGTAGGAGAAGCGGGGGATGTTGATGGGAATCCAGGCACTGCCACTGAGCACACTCCTGAATCCCCCCTACACTGAGTGTCCTGTGGCTGGGGCTGTGTGGCAACCCACTGCAAGCTCACACACACTTTGCCATGGGGAACCGCAGGTTGGAGCTGGAAGGGGTACCTGTGGTAGATACTCCACAAACGTCTCTCTCTGACTAGCACAAAAGCTTGGTCATTTGCACTTGACCATAGATGTCTCTGGGATCACTACATGAGGACAACCTCCGAGCTGTGCTCCTCTTCAGAACGTGTCTTTTGAGACAAATTGCCCTTGACAGCATCTTTCTCGACTCCCACAGTGCCCGACATTGGTTGTGAAGCAGGGAGATATCCGAGGGGCCCGCAGCTTTGAGCAGTGACTTTACCATCCTTGTGGCAGTCGCTGTTCTTTGGTCTGGCTCCACGATTCACCCCTTCAGGGTCACCATCGCAGTTGTTGCCAGAGGAAATCTGCACCCACCCTTGCAGCCTGAGAACTCGTAAGGTGACAAAAACTTGTCACCGCGATTAAAATGTGAAATGCAGCTTTTCTGTGAGGTTTTAATTACAGCTAGCGAGTGCGAGTTTACATCTGGAGATGAGGACATGTGTGATATCAGCAGAAGAAAGTGCCAATATCAGTGACTGTATCACTGTTTCCAAACAGAACTTGTTTCAAAATTGCTTCATCATTTTGAGAGGTCTTGGGAAATGCTTTCATCTCCTCTACAGAATATTCAGATCGTGACGGTTAACATTTGCCAAACACATTGTCTTCTCAATTTTAACAAATAACTCTTCATTTCCACCTAGACGGTTGAAGGTGGATTTAAACCAGCGTATTCAAAGGCAGAATTTGTTGACAAGTCATTTTTGGTTCAGTGTCAGGTTTGTCTTTCAATTAAAAAACCAGTTCTAATATTATTTGGTTTCCTAAGGAAACAAGACCCATGTAGTTACCCTCACCGTATGAGGTCTGTATCTGCATTTGCTTTGTTTTCCTTTCATAGCTTTTGCACTCGTTGCCCAGCTTCAACCAACTCTTACAGATTTATGGATGATCAAGTCCTCGCAAGGTTTGTGGAAATAGGCAAGCAGGAGTTCATGAAAACAATCCAGATTTGGGTCAAAATGTGCTCCCTGCAATCGCTATTCACGCTACCTGGTGGAAACTCATCAGTGTCTGCACTCGCGGCAGTCACACCCTGAGCAGACGCAGCATCAGAACGGATGCAAGCTGAGAAATGCAATAGTAAAAGCAGCAGAATCTTCCTGAAAAAGCCGTTCCCTGAAGCAGTGTGTAAGCTTAGTTACCTCTGGTATAAATTACAAGCGAGTTAGTTCATTACAATGGAATTACCCAAGGATGACACCCTCAAGACTGAGAACAGACCCTGCCGTTACATGTATTTAGTTACATTTAGTAGCAAGACTGAAGGGTCCAGTGCAGCAAATTGTTAATCACAGGATGAATGTGTTGGTTCCATTAGGAGCAACTCAAGTAAGGTGTCCTCGTGGCAAGGGGTGCGAACCAGCAAAGTGATGGAGACAAAGCAAGACCTTGTTCTGGCCCAATTGTTAACAAAGATTTTATCACCAAAAAAATCATTGGTACTGGCTGGCACGTAAGAAAACCCTGAAGTCAATGCTCATCCCCCTGCACACTGCAGCACTGGCAGCTATACATAATAAAACAATGCTTTTGGGGTTTTTTACGTTAACAAAATGCTTGTGAAGGTCTCTGAGTTCATGAACTTCCTTCAATGGCATCTAAACAGGCATTTTTCAGGTTTAATGCTGTGCTTTCTGTTCAACCTGTACATTTCATTACTGTAATTGCTCAGAGACACTGCTTGCTTTGTGAGACTTTGAGGGAAGAAAATGGATGCAGTTCTCCTTATTAACCACTCGTTTTCCTTGTCTGGGTGTCGGGCGTGCTGCAGAGAAGTCCATCAGTTTGGTTTATCACATCCATCCCAGGGCAGCTCCTTGTTTTTAAGCCATGGCTCTCTGGTGTCATCGCAGCATTCGAGGTCTTGATCTCGGGATGCTCCTCAACGCAACACATGAATACAGGCTTTCCCCTCCCAACTCTTACAGTGCTGCTGTCGCCCTGTTACAGCATCAGTGTCAGTATGAATAATTATACACATTTAACCCGGTACAAAGGATGGAGTTTCCACATTTTCAAAGTCTCTTTGAACTTGGGCAGCCAATGTTCTTGTTATTGAACAGCATATTGATGTTTTCTACCACTAACCTTTTACAATGATGACATTATTTGTTTGCAAAGCTCTTCTTTCCATACGGACTTCCTACACATTTTCTCCTATGACTATGGGCCTGTCTCAAGCCACTTCAGAGAAAGAAGTTTCTCTAAAAGAAGGCAAATGCACTGTTAAAGCCTTTTCCTCCTTTTAATTCAGAAACACCTTTATTGCATACACTTTCTGCAAAGCACTTTCTGTGTTACATGTCAGGAACAAACTCTCCTTCATCCATGGCGTGTAACAACCCAGACGAAAGCCCCTTATACAGGAGGTGTATTAAGTTGGTAGAACCATATTTATTGTGTTCACTTTGATAAACTTGTGAACAGGAGTACTTTGAAGCAGAAGGGATTGCAATGTCCTGAGGTACTGACGGGATTGCTGCCTCCTTCATGTGTGATGGTGCCCATGGGACTCCAGGAGCACAAAATGGCACGAATAACACGCAGACCGCCTGGAGATTCATTGACCGGATGAATTTTTTTTCACCATTTCTTCAAGTGCTTTCCAGTTATACACGTATTTATAACCCTTCTTTACTTCATTTGGTCACTTTTCTGTCTCCTATACTCCTCCCAGAATGACTCTTCAACATTTTTTCCATATCATTCCTAATGCCCCCAATGCCTTTCTCCTCCATCTGCCTTCCCCTCTCTTATAACATCATTTTCTCTTCAGAAAATTCTCTTGTTGCCACCTTCCGAGCTGTTTGCTAGGGTTCAGAAAAAGGTGGTGCTCTTTCTGGTGGCTTGGACAGGGGTTGGGAAAAGGGTCACATTATGGATGAACTGGGGATGTGGAGGGAATCATTTTGGGACAAAAGATTTTGAGGTAGGAGATTATTGAGCTCTGTCACATAAGTCTTAAAACTTTTGGTCAAAATACTGCTTTGAAACAAGAAAATGGAAAGATTCAATCAAAAAATGACAAAACGAAAGGCTCATTTTTTCCAAAAAATGCACTGCATTGAGGTGGGTGGAAGAGAATGATTCACTGAATTTTATCAGAATCCACAAATAATGTTGGTTTTGACTGGGAGATCCAAATTCTCCTGTTCATGACATATTTGGCATTTCATTGCTCACCTGTGAAACGGTGCTAACTTGGGTTTTCTACCCATCTTATAAAATTAATTTTTATTTAGAGCACACAACTGATGTTCTAAAAAAAAAGTAGTTTAAAAAGCAAAGTATCTTTCTCACATTAATCCAGAACACCGAACATTCACTTACTTCAGCCTACAGAGAGGAAGAATCACAGAATCACAGAATCCCAGACCGTTAGGGATTGGAAGGGACCTCCAAAGCTCATCCAGTCCAATCCCCCTGCCGGAGCAGGAACACCCAGATGAGGTTACACAGGAAGGCGTCCAGGCGGGTTTTGAATGTCTGCAGAGAAGGAGACTCCACAGCCTCTCTGGGCAGCCTGGGCCAGGGCTCTGTCACCCTCACTGAGAAGAAGTTTCTTCTCCAATTTCAGTGGAACCTCCTGTGTTCCAGTTTGTGTCCGTTACCCCTTGTCCTATCATTGTTTGTCACCGAGAAGAGCCTGGCTCCATCCTCGTGACACTCACCCTTTAAATATTTATAACCATGAATGAGGTCTCCCCTCAGTCTCCTGTTCTGCAAACTAAAGAGCCCCAGCCCCCACAGCCGCTCCTCATAAGGGAGATGCTCCACTCCCTTGATCATCTTTGTAGCCCTACGCTGGACTCTCTCCAGCAGTTCCCTGTCCTTCTTGAACTGAGGGCCCCAGAACTGGACACAATATTCCAGATGTGGTCTCACCAGGGCAGAGTAGAGAGGAAGAAGAAGAAATTATGTAGGGGAAAAAATAACTCTAGAAAATTACTATCCATTGAGTCCAACATACTTTGTCCTACAGTACATAGCAAAGGGTGAGATGTTTCACTTCTCAGAGGCAAATTGCTGGAAAGAAGAAGTAGTCATGGGGCTATCTGTTACAAATCTCTTTGCTCTTACCCAAGACATAAATCTCGCTGTTGACGACGGCCGCGCTGAAGCGGTACTTGGAGAACTTCATTGGCGCTCCTTCTGTCCATTTGTCTTGGCCTGGGTCATACTGAAATGTTCTGTTACTCAATCGATCCGGCTCATCGTCAGGCAGATCCGTCTGCGTGAAATATGACAGCCATGTAATAATACAACATTTGGAGCCCTCTGCACAAGCCTGTGTGCAATTAATCACGGCAGACAGCTGAGCAGATAAATAGCATAAACACATCCATTATAGCTGCAAAGTGATTCATACTCACTAGGGCTTAACAGCGCCCATGGCTTGTGGCTGGGAGCACACTGGGAAAGGCAAAGGAGCAAGAGGAAATTTATATTCTGCAGCAATAAGGGTAAGGATTTGGGTAATAACAATCCATTAATGAGCCTGGGTCTGCCAGCACGTACCTCTTTCACCAGGCCTCTGTGAAGTCCTAATAATAACTGGAAAACCAGTCCATCTGACACTATTTCTTCCTGCTAATGATTGAAATCTTTCCTGCTGTTACCCAGCCCGCACCATGAGTCTCAGTGAGGTGCTTTGCTGGCCCTTCTCAGACCTGTATATATTAATAACTTATTCTCCAGTCATTTTATTTAGTCAGCAGAGTGATGTTGTTCAACTGCTTAACTTCTCCTTCAGTTACACAATAAGCTCCTAACCCCCAGCTCTAGCTTTGCTGCCACAAAACTCTTTTTATACTCACTCCTACTCCTCTTGTTCTCTCTCATCCTCTTCCCCTTTCTCTGCCTGTCTGGTGTGATGCAGGGAGTTCAGATTATGTCTTCTGGGTACAACAGCCTTGAATATAAGCAGTAGGCTGTGGGGGGAGGATCCTGAAATACTGTGGGATGAAAGGTTTCACATAGAGAGAGTGAGAAGAAGAGAGCTTCTCTGCTTACTTGTGATGCTTTTATATGTGTTCTTGTTATTTTTCTCTCCCAAAAGACCTTTGCAACACTGATGTAATGGACAAGACAGTAGGAGGCAAACTAGAAAGCAAATGTATAGCCCCTTGGTTACCCCCTGCAAGTGCCCAGGGATGTGCTCTTTCTTCACTGTGAGCATGAAACGCTGATTTATTCACTGAGAAAGGGGTAAGCTGTGTATTTTCAGCACAGAGTAAGCATATACTTAGGATCAGGCACCATTTGACATACTGTAAATTCACATCCTACCTAATTTTCGTGGTAGCGTTCACCTCAGAGCGCAAGATGTGTGTTTAAGTACAGAAAACACAACGTCCAGCAGCCTTTCTCTCTGCTTCTGGGGTCTGAAACCTTCCTCTCAACCTCACCAAACTCCTTCCTCCTTTTTAAGAGCTCCCAGTTACCAGGGCTGGAGCCTCTTGGGTTTTTAACCGCTAGAATCAGTGAGTTGAGACGAGCGCTGAGCTGGAGCAGCGGTGCTGCGAGCCCAGCCCGTGCCCTCCTAAGCTGTCATTTCGTGTCCTGGCTTGACTCTGTCTTGCCTTGTTTCAATTGCAAAGCCCAAGTGGGAAGGGAACATGTATTTATCTCCGTCCTGCAATGGACACAGGCATCACAACGCTCTGTCTATGTGGGGTCACTCCTGTTTGTTCAGGCCTGACAGAACATTCAGTGCTGCTCAGGCATGGGGACAGCTCCTGGCTTGACGAACCCATTTGCTTTCAGGATGCAGCTGTGGTACCCCCATACACAACGACCCATTGACAGGAGAGTGCGGGAGATGTGTGGTACCAGAATTCAGCACTCCTTGTAGAACTGATCTTAAAGCACTTTTCAGAGAGCTTTAGCTAAATTCTTCTATCTGGCCAGGTACATCCTAATCTCACAAAGCTGTGGGTTTTAATTGATTACTGTTAATCTGCTCATCTCAAACCTATTGATAAAATAAACACAGACTCCCATGTATTGTCACTGATAGCGCTGACAGGCGTCCACTTCAGGTGCTTCATAGGTGCCTGTATTTCTTTAAAACCATTCTTGGCTCAATATTCCTGACTTGTGCTCCTAAGCCACTCTCACCCCTTACAATCTGTTCTGGAGAGCCATTAAGAAAGACGAAGCTGCTTGTCTGACTTCAACGTCTGTCTTTGTGATACAACAGATCTTTCAAGTTTTTTACCGACAGATTGTTTCAACATTAAATTTTCATATTTTAATTCTTTCATGAGCTAAAGTATCCTTGCTTGGCTGTTTCAGCATCAGAAATATTCTCTGATCTTCCTGTTGTCTCCTCTGGGGACTCCTGCACTCAAAAAGTCCAAGAAGTGGAAATCTCGTCTCCTGAACACATCTCACTTTTAAATCCTTTGAGCAGTAATTTATTTCAAGAAAGACGAGCTGTGATGACAGCCTGAACACACCACTGTCGGCAGTAAGGATTACAGATGTTCTGCTTCTTTGTCAAGTAGATGTGGGGCTTTATCTTGAATGCTCAGATTTAAACTGCACAAGCAGTAAATAAGAATGGGCTGTGCTCTTAAAGAAGAGCTTTCACTGGGACCAACTGGAGCGAGCAAGCACTGCTCCTGACGTCCGTCCTCTTGTAGCATAGCTCTGTATATTCCCTGTACTACCCAATATGGTACCTGCTGAAAATCCCCATTACAACTTCACAATCAACGTAACTGAAACAAATAAATGGATTGATTAAAGGAGTCTGTTTTCCGGAAAATGCTTTACCTTTGAATTTAAAATACAGTTTAATGAAAAGCAAATAAATGAACTTTGGTTAACCAAGAAAGTTTCCTGAGAAATTAGAATCATAGAATCACAGAATGGTTTGGGTTGGAAGGGACCTTAAAGCTCATCCAGTCCAACCGCTGCCATGGGCAGGGACACCTCCACCAGCCAAGGCTGCTCA